ATCACCTAGCAATTTCATTAAACAGAAGATTTCATTCCGTAGTTTTTTGGATATGTTACAGAATCTTATGTCTTTGAGAACAATTCAAAACACAAATTAAATCGAGGAAATCAAGAACTACTGCATTCTTCGTAGATGAATGCGAACGATTTAAGAATATAACGAGTATTCTCGGTAATCTTATCGCCATGTTGAATTAGTAACGTTTACTTTTACGAAAATCTTTAAAAAGTGAAAAAAAAGAAATTTAATTCTCAAAGAACGATTAATAAATTTTCATTTTTGGATCATAAGAACTTCAACAGTTCTAGCAATTCGTAGAAAAATGAATATGGAGTCTTCTTTTAAATTTAAAAGGAAGCTCAATATGAAAAAAATATAAAAATCTAGGACACTGACTTTTGTGATAGTCCCACAAGACCATAGTGAATATAATGTTGTTATAACCCATGACTTTAAAACCAATTAAGAGAAATTAACAAAGAATAAGGCAAATTGGGAGCACGGTTTTCAGTCTAAATGCATCAGAATGTCAATACTTTGCCAATAGAAATTTTAACTTTAAGAACATATATTTTACTAAATCGTTATGGTAGTTGTCGGTAATCCTAGGTTATACCAAACGAGTGTAATTTGAAAAATTGAATCACATTTAATAGTAAACAATAAAAGTATTTATAAAATGTTATGTAATAGTAGTACTCTAGTGAGGAAATTTAACACAGATGTTTAATTTTATAATATGCCAGTATGGCATATTATCCATCCATAATTGGTTTCTACAGTATGAGCGGACGTGTACTTAAAATTAAACTTCAATAGAAACGACGCGCGCTCCTAAAAATATTTAGTGTGAATCTTTACCTTCTGATGAAATAGATTTCCCTTAGAGTAACAATGGATTTCCACAGGACTTTTTTAAAATTAAAAGATGGCATCTTATAGACTCAAGGATCTGTCCAATGTGTCACAATGTGAGATATAGCTGTTTTTTTTTCTTTTCGAAGTATAAGATAGTCTAGAATTTATAAGTGTAACATAGGTTTTGGATCAGTGTATAATTCGCCAATTGGCGGTGCTCATTATGACTGTGGATGCGTCATACTAAGTGATGGTCGTCTGAAGAGTTCATCAAAAAACAGCTCTTGTCTGAAGGTATACTACATGGTTTACTTTTCGACGTTCGGTGCGATGGTAGGTTAGACTCGTATATAACTGTTTTGTGCTTTTACAATATTTTATTCTTGTAGGCATGGCATCTATTGTTGTACGAAAAATCTGTTGAGAATCTGTACGGACCTATTCTATCAACGAGTGCAATTAATGACTGTACTATCGATGTTCGTATGAGTGGCAATGATCAGCGAACAAAAGTCAGCCACTTTGTACGAGCTCGACTTTTGTCAACATTAAACTGGTTGTCGATTCATTGCAATGAAAACCAAATCGATGCGTGTATTCTATTGACGACTTCCTTCGAACGAATGGCTTATTCGACAATTAATCAGCAAAATACTTGGATTAAACCAAAATATCAAACAGACAATGAAAAAAGAGAAGCTGAAACTAAATACGAAGAACAGGTGTACTCTTTTGCCAGCGACAACTTACCTAAATACAAAGCCTACATAAATCAAATTCATTTACAATCTAAGCTACAAATCAGCCTACAAAATTTTTTGACCCGAATACCAATTATTATTGAAATGTCACAGTTTAAAGATCGATGGTTTAGCCCAAAATATTCAGAATTACCCTTAAGTATAATGAAAAAAGTTCTTGATTCTACTGATTTTCTCGAAATGACTGCATACATTTATGACTTGTGTCGATTCTACTTCCTTCTACATCAAACATATGCTCAAATGATTGAAAAAGAAAGTCTTCTTACCATCAAACTCATTGAATTGTATGGAAAAGCGAAACAGTATTTGAAGAGATCCAATCAAAAAGATGATAACGAGATGATTATTCATATGAAAATAATTGAAAAGGGTATTGAAGCTGTCAACGCTTATCATGACATTATGGATGGCCATATCCAACCAGGCGCCTGCGATGAAACGCAACGCTTCGACAAGGTCAACAAAGACACGTCCATAGCATACTTTGTTACAGGAGAAAATTATGACGAAGGAAACATTATTATGCGTATACTCAGGTTAGTTATTTACTCATGTGAACATATAATTATTCTTTGATTAGCTATAAAGGAAATACTTACTTAATGGGAGACATTTAAGCATGGTGTAATGAATAGCCGCATTTAATATTTATTTTACAGACTTTTTTTAATTTCTAGTTTATAAATAACTCGACAGAAAGTAAAAATTTGTAGCAGTGCCTTCGAACGCATCAACATTAGTTCAGAGATTTTCTTTCGGAACTCTACTTGGAAGAGACAATATCGCAATTTTTTTTGCATCATTTCGACAAGAACATCAACTCTGCGTATTTAAAAATATTCAATGTGATGGGATGGAGAATTTTAAATGCCAGAACAATGTTTTAACTACGAAAATTACTGGATACAAAACTTTGCAAAATAAAAAAATGCCACACTGTTGCAAATTTTGAAACGTGTTTTGTCTAAATAGATACATATATTCCATACATATTTGAGTTACATATTTTAATTAAGATTTATTCAATTTGAGTAAAAATGTAGCTTTTCGAATTTCATTTTTTTTTCTGCCTTTTCTTCAAAATGTTCAAAATGAAAGCTTACGAAAGATTTAATTTTACACAACATCACTTGCTATATTTGGAAATATGCAAGATCCCCCATTATTACAAATTCCCTGTGAGCTCTCAATCCCGAACGTCAATGCTATAGCACGCTGAGTTTTTCAAACCCTGTTTGTATAATAGATACACATCCTGAAAATAAGAATTTAGAATTTATTAGAAAGATCTTTACTTGAATCGAATGTCTTGCAAAATTGATCTCAGAGACTTTTCCCCGTTCGAAAGAAGAAACAGTCAAAGATTTTCATTATTAATAATCGGTTAAAAGAACATAAATTGTTCTCTTTGCCAAAAAAACAATTATGCAAGCTATAGCTGAGTATGATTTTATACGACTTACAGTATATAAAGTCTGGTTGTTGTGACCTCAGTTACATAATGCTCACACTTTTATTTAAAAATATCGGATTCTTTCAAGTCAGTTTTTCTTTCCACAGTCGATTCGTTAGATGGAGTTCAGTGAAAAATTTTCACTTGCTATAGCTCAGTTATTCGGATACATGAAAGAGAATCAGTCGATTAATTGATTCATATTTTAGTCTCACATTTTGCAATTCTGTATCAGCTAAGCACTCACTGATATGGATCGGATTTCTCTGACCATTGCTTAGTAGGTATTATGTCGTATCATAAACTGGACTGTGTAGGATAAGAAAAGAGCAGAAGTGGTATGTTTAGCGTCATATTATTGTTGTTATAAGATGAGTTTTTTTTTTAATTTGGTACTCTCAAAATTGGATGATACAAGTGAAATTGAAATTCAAAAATAAAGAATTATAAAAGCAAGACATTGTCTACGTATACTCCTATGATTAGTTACTATACGATCATCTAGGATCTACAGCGGTCTGACTTGTCGAAACAGTCTTAAAGTATGCACACAGTGCGTCGCTGTAACAGAGTACCATGGAACAGTCAACCACCTGGCAGATCCTGATTGATCGCAGTAGGCATCCAAAAACTCGCATATACTTTATCAAAGCTCAGGAGAAAATAAAGTAGATTCACTTAATTAAATTTCGAAATATTTTATAATTTATTTTCACTATCATTTCTTTCAAACGATAAACAATGGAAAATAATTTCTCATTTTCTCGATCGCTATTCCGCTTAGGTTACATAAATAGAGGAATGTTCGACATGTTAAATGATTTTGCTATCAAAAACTTATATTAATACAACTAATGTGGTTATTAAATATTCTTCTAAATTTAAAATTTTAAACTATCATTGAAACTGAATTGCTAAATTTACTAGATAATTCAATGTAAAAACTTAACTGATCCTGACATTTTATTTTCCAAGATAGAAATAAAAATCGATGAACTTTTTTCTCTGAATTACTTAAATACCCCGATAACGAAATAACGTCGCAGGAAAAAGCAATGAACAGCTTTTATATTTCTTATTGAATCGCGATGAATAAGCATGTCTCGTCATTCTAAAGCGAAAAATCATTGTAGACAGATTTTCTTATTCTTCCATCCATTGATTCGATTATTTGTTTTCGTTTTTCAAGCATTCTTATCGATTATCACAACAGCTTTTTGGATCAGGTTGAGCAGGAACTCAACTCTTCTGAAGATCAGAGTATGAACATTATTAAATATTTGATTGGTAAAATAGTACCAAAGGAAGTCTCCATAATACAAGTTGTGCGTGAAGGCGCAGGTGTATTGACTTTGAAAAAGGATGACAATTCATGGATTGAAAAATATGCACTTGCAAATCTCATTTTGGACAATGAAGTTTTTCCAGCCTTCGATACAGAACTGAATTTTGACTACTTGAACGTTCAATCGCACATAATACGAACTTATTTACTTTTATGTCATATTAAATATCAGGATATCTCTCAAAAGTATGTATGTTTTATACCAAGAAAAGTTACTAATGCCATCACAACGGGTGTTGATGGTATCATCGAATTGGATGAAAACTATTCAGTTCCACTGGAAGATGATTGGATCCATTTAAATATACTATCAATCGACCAATTGTATTATGGTTACACTATCTTAAGACAGATTACTTCGATATTGAAAAATGAACAACGTGATCAATCGTCTGAACAGCTGTATACTTATATTCAAACAATCAATGGAAAAGATTTAACTGTTGAGATATTGAAGGAAAATAATATACGAGATTTTCAACTTTGTCACATGAATCATGTCGGTAAATTATACAAAGATTTAGTTGGACGATTCGAACACTTGTTCACAGATACTTCTGCATTACTTCAAAGGCCAATGTCAAATGAACTAAGCAAAGAACTTGAAGAGAGCTTTCAAAATAAACTGATCAATATCGATAATGGCTGTGATAATAAAAACTTGGTAGTCAAAACATTGGAGTCAAGTATAAACGATATCGATGAACTTTTGAATGAATTAAAAGATATTCAAGACACACTTAGTGACAAAGGAACTGAGTCATTAGCTAAAATATGTCACGACATGCATATTAAAAATTCTCTTCTTGATATTATTGATGACAAAGTCAAATGTGAAAATTACGTCTTCTTGACTGTTCATTTAATTCACGTTCGATCCAAATTACAAGAAAAAACAATTGATTTTGAAGAACAAAACACAGAACAATGGACTGATAGTTTTTATGAGCAAGCAGATCAAACAAGCCAACGAAGTACAAGAAATCGTTTTCGTCCTGATGAGAGAGATGATGAGGAAGATTATGACTCTGGTGGACGTCATGTTCCTGATATAGTCCTCAATTCAAATCCGGAGCCGGACCCTCTTCCATCACCTCCGAATCAGGTTCACATATTACCGCTTTTTGAATTGAATATCGGACCTACTTCAATAGCATCATTGAAATCAGTGTTTGGAAGCGATGATCAGACGAATAATGCAACAACTTCTCCAGACAAAGTTGAAATGTTTGAACTTACAAACCCATGCAATGTTCCAAAATTTAATATAAAATGTAAAACTGGAACATTCTATGGCAAACTGAAGGCACATTTGAACCAGAAAAAGTACGATATGAATACATATGCCGTCGTTGACTATAATAAAATATTCGTCGACTTTACACGAACCGATGCTCGTCTACCTAAACCATTCCCTACAAAATATTGTATCGTTGAAAAGAGCTTATTAATTCCAATTGTTTTTCAATATGGAGGCGAACAATACGAATACTTAACATTATCAGACTGTAATGTCCACAATATTATCCATCGTTTTATAGATGAAAAGGAGTTAAAACAATCACCCGAAGTTCGTCTTTTATTTTATGACAAACTCGGAAAATGCATCGAAAATGAAATTGTTTCAGAACTGCCGCACGACGTGAATCATAACTTGTCAGTCGTTATTATAGTCAGAGAAGAAAATATTGAAGACGGTTTATTATATACAGTTAATCTACAAACGAAAGGTAGTGTTTGTTCAGGAGATCAGTATTTTAAAAACATCTCTGATTATTTGAATTTAGATCAAGAACAAAAAGGTCTGTTTCATCCAACGACGAAGTGGTACCAGATTGACATTTGGCGTAAAACTCATTTGCAACAAATCGATTCATCTTGTGTTTACATAAACAGAGAGAGCAAAGCTATATTTGATAAAAATGAATCGATATCTATGTTAGAGAAGAATATAGTAACATTGGATGGCATTAGTGAAGACCAAACCCGAACTGTTACTTTATGTTTTGGATCGAATGTGAAAGTTATTCGAACACTTGGTTCGCTTCGAATGCACGATCTATTGAGTAGTGATACCCTTCGACAATTCAGTTTAATTGTTTCACCAGAAGATTGTGTTTTCACACTTGGTGATGCTGATGAACAAGAATTATCTGAAGAAGATATGAAAAAATTGGTCGAAGAGTTTCCTCAACCAATACAGTGTCGAATATGGCTAAAAGTTCATATTCATCAATATGATATTCAACGAGATATTGTCGTAAAAATTAAAGAAGATACTATTACTGTGGATCAAATATTGCACATGCAAGAAATACTCAATGAAGATTACAAATATTTAGCTTCTAGCGATAGAAATGCAGTTATTGCTGATGACCAAAAGTTTGTTGATTTGAATGAAACAAAATTCATTCTTCTCAAAGAAAATGAAACATGTTGTGTTTCAATTGGTGATTTAAATAAAGCACAAGAAGATGGTTATTCTAAACGATACGCAAAATTCGCAACTATTGCCGATGTCTTGAAAGATAGTAATGTTGATGCTGATTGTCTTCTCTGTCTCAACGATATTGCTCCTTCAAAAGAAATTAAATTGGCTTTACTTCCACCACCAATTCAATTTCAAATTATCAAGGACGACTTACTAGCACTCGTTACTGTTACCAATCCGGAGCAAGAAAATTGTTCCATTCAGTTCAAATGTTCAAAATCAATTACTACAGGAAGGGTATTCCAAATTTCATGTCAATTACTAAATACCAATACAAGCTACTATCAACTCAATGATGAATCGAGCGAAATAGATTATGAATTAACTCTCGAAGATCTCGACTCATCTTCCAGTAACTTTCACTTTAACTTAGTCTCTACATTTGATAAGACATGCTCCATACGGTACAAAAACGAAACTCTTAAACTACCATGTTCAAACACAACAATCTTGAAGGATCTTGTAAAGGAAATGTTTCGAAAGTTTCATATTTCTGAAGAAGACATCGATCAATTTGAAGTAGAGCAGGTTTTGAATGATAATGAATCATCAACAGCCGATATGGAACTAACGATTGACGATATTCTTGCAACTGATTCTGGGAACCAAGACACACTGAGTTTGCTGTTTGAACTGAAGAAGAATGACGAATAAC